CTGCTTCTCCAATGCCTAAAACAGTGGCTGGCACATTGGAGACAATAACTGTGTTGAATGAAGTATTACATCACTCATAGTTACTGCATCAAAGATTAATGTTTACATTTCCTGATAGAAAGTTACTTTTTTCCTCAGACAAGAAATCATGTAGCAGATTTAACTGGTTTGTTTAGATTATGGAAGAAAAATGGTTCGCACTTTACATTTCTGTTTAGGTATATATTCTTAGTAAAGCAACTATGAGGCAAAAGCCTAAAAATTATATTATTTAAACCCCTCAAAAATGTATCCTTTACTCTTATGCTTGAAGGCGTAGTTAGATCTTACAAATCAGTCATAAATGAACATATTCACAATTAACACTTCACCAGTCAGGAACCAGGAAGTAAACCAAAAAAATAAAAGCAAAACTAAGAGAGACATTAAAAAAAAAACTGAATTCTGCACAGCAAGACCTCATCAGGTCCACAGGAATTCACTATTACTTAACAGATGTTGAGTGGGACTAGTCCTGATGCCCCAACATCACTAACAAACACAAAGCTGAAAACATATAGACACCAAGGATCAAACATCTGAGGAATCAGTCACAACTCTGGAACCCTAATCATCACCTTGTCAACCCTTCTACTCTATAAAAGCAGTTGACAGCAGAGAAAAAAAGGTTAGAAGTCTTTCAAGTCTTCAGGGAGAACACAGGAAAAGAAAGGAGATGTTCACCCAAAAACAGTGGCAGGGGGCCTTCAAGAGAAATTGTTTACCAGGATGAGAAGTTCCCAGAAGAAGAAACTTGCATCCCATTCTCCAGTTCCACATCTGCTTATGCAGTCAACTGAAGAAGTGACCCTATACCCATGTGAACAGGGAGACAAAGAAAACTGATTGAAAGTGGCAGGGCATACATAGGAAGCTAACTTAAGCAGCCTGCATGCCACCATTTGGCATCACAAAGAAATGAGTTTCCAGCTGGTTGGGCAGAAACCATAGAAGTACCTGGGCTGGCACTGTCACACTTGTTATCCAAAAATCTGGCTGCAGAGAACAGATCCCCACCCCAACTCATCCCTATGCACTCACAGTGGACTGTGCCAAGAGGTGGACTGAAAGGACAGGAGCAAACGGGTTAGAAAAAATTTAGCCACTGGAAACTTCATATCTGGGAACTGCGCATGAATCTCCCTGCAAGATCTCGCCAAAAATGCCGGTTTGGTTGCCTACCAATAGATACCAATGGCCTGCCTCTGTTAATCAAGAGAGGGCTTTAACAGCACCAGATAACAAACACTTGTCTTTGTTCACTTCTCTTCTGACTAGCTCCGCCCTGAAGTAGATCCCTGAAGAGGGAAAGAGGTGTCCCAGGAGCATACCACAAGCCTTCCCTACCCCAAGTGGTTCAGGCAAGGGAGGAACAAAGCTTTAAACTGAATATAAGATTGAAGGTTTAAACTGGAATAGATTAGACTAGAGCTGTTAAAAGCTATAAATGATACAAAAGAAAGAGCGAGAGAAAGATCCTACAAAGCATAGTTAAAAGCAGTGAATAGTGAAAATTAAAATCATCCTATGTCTGTTCGCTCACTAAACTCAGACTGCTCAAAAGACCTGATAACGTGTGGAACAGCATTCCACCCTTAGCAATGGGAGGGAACACCTGACATGAAAATTCTCACGGGGGATTTACAGTACTGGGTAAGATGCTACATTATAAACCCTCTGAGATCGCTTCCAATTCTAGTGTCTGTGATTGTCCTTTCCTTCAAAAGGTTAAATTAAAGCCAAAATCTAGAATTCAATAGTTAAACTATAAAAGAGTAGGCTGCCTAAAGGGCTAAAACCTCAACTTTTTGGAAAATAATGCTATCAGACTGACACATCCAATAAGGGTTCCCTGTAGGAAACAACATTTTACTCTAAAATTGATTTAATTTTTAAAAATTCCTAAATGCTCTAATTTTGTGGAGTTTTTTTTACATTCAACAGAAACTCTAGTTCAAAGAAAGCTTATGACATAAAGTCCCAAAACACTACATTCCTGAAAAAAGCAATTCAATTAACTATAAAGCTTACTAAAATAAATGGCAAACATATGTTTGCTCAAACATCTTCGAGGAATTACAAACTCACATATCCTTTTATCACACAACACTTACAAGAAAAAATACCACTAGGGTTAAACAGTTTAATGTTATTCATTAAGTGTAACAAAGTTCTACTGCTATAAGAAAGGCAAACAGGAAACTTTATGCTCACATAAAAACTTTATGCTTTCTTTTTTTTTTTTTGAGTTGGAGTCTCACTCTGTCGCCCAGACTGGAGTGCAGTGGCCGCTCCCGACCACCGCAGCCTCGACCAGCTGGGCTCCGGCGATCCTTCCGCCTCAGCCTTCCAAGTAGCTGGAACTACAGGCGCATGCTACCACGCCCGGCTAAATTTTTGATTAATTGTAGAGATGAGGTCTGGCCAAGTTGCCCAGGTGGGTCTCGAACCTGCGGGCTCAGGCAATCCACTCACCTCAGCGTCCCAAAGGTGCGAGATTAGAGGCTGAGCCACCGAGCCCAGTTAGCATCTCATATTTTTATGTTTCTAAAAATAATTAAACATCTAAAGCTACCATGAGTTTTTGCCCCAAGAACTCCTTTCAGATACCTTATCAATAAATTTCCAAATGATGTGTAGGTACTCACAAATGGTCAAAGACTAAAAACTAAATCTTAATATTTACCTCCTACTGAAATTATTTTAATGTATCACTGCAGATTTGAAATGAGATTTTTTAAATATTGAAATTTAAAATTAAATGTCAATATTACAAAAAATAAATTGCTCTGGAATGAGAAAAATTATTTGCATATTACCTCAGCTCACAGCTGGAATCAAGTGGGAAGAACCGTAAGGCAGTTGCTACTACAGTACTTGAAATTTTCTAATAAAAGCAGTGTGAAAAAAAAGCATAGTGTCACATATGAATAATTACTACTTTATATTCTGAAAACTATCTTCCCCATAATCTTAAATGTCAGAGTTAGTTAAGCAAGAATAGGGATAAGTCAATGTTAATTGTCTAACTTAAATAAATTATGCTAATAAATTATTTCTTAGATCTCATTCTGGGCTACAAATTATCACACAAAGTAACTGTGGGATTTGCACTATGACTAAAAGAATAATAGTATAAGCCGGGCTCCGTGGCTCAGCCTGTAATACCGCACCTTTGGGAGGCTGAGGTGAGTGGATTGCCTGAGCCCGCGGGTTCTGGCATCAAAAATTAGCTGGGCGTGGTAGTGCGCACCTGTAGTTCCAGCTACTTGGAAGGCTGAGGCAGAAGGATCGCCTGAGCCCAGCAGGTCGCGGCTGCGGTGGCCGGGAGCGGCAACTGCACTCCAGTCTGGGTGACAGAGTGAGACTCCAACTCAAAAAAAAAATAATAATAATAATAATAATAATAATAGTATAGAACTTCCAGGCTTGAAATCAAAAAGTCACCTTTTAAAAGCTCCATTAAATGTTTTTAGGGAAAAAGTCTCCAAAAAATGCAAATGTTTCCACCTTCTCCAAATATCTTCCCAAGAGTTCTATTTATTATCACCATATCCTGGGCAACCCCCTAGGGTCCCCTCCCACTTTGGGAGCTTTTCTGTCCTCTCAATACGTCCTGCTTTCTAAAAAAAAATAAAAATAAAAATTCACCATATCCTATGTTATCAACTAACACTTGAATACTGTCCTTAATGACTTTTTTTTTTTAAAAAAGAACCAAATAAGCCGGGCTCGGTGGCTCAGTCTGTAATCTCGCGCTTTGGGAGGCTGAGGTGAGTGGATTGCCTGAGCCCGCTGGTTCAAGACCCGCCTGGGCAACTTGGTGAGACCTCATCTC